GTCTAATCTTTAGTCCCGGTTCGTGCCTCAAACCGGGACTAAAGGTCTAATCTTTAGTCCCGGTTTGAGGCACGATCCGGGACTAAAGGTCATCGCACCCTTTAGTCCCGGTTCATGTCTTAAACCGGGACTAAAGGGCCCAAGGGAACCGGGACTAATGCCTTAGCCGCACGAACCGGGCCAATGCTCACATTAGTCCCGGTTCTAGACTGAACCGGGACTAATGGGCTGACCCGGCCTGGACCAAAGCCCTGTTTTCTACTAGTGCTTTGCCTCCTTTTCTACTAGTGTTGGTCATCTTCTTCGCGTTGGGTTTCAAGGTCGGCATGTCCTCTTCGCCTACCGATGTCATCCAAGGCTACCTTCGATTCTGATCGAGTGATCGTTCAACAATGAGGTAGTTCCATGGCATTGTAGTCTTAGATCATGACTGCCCCGTCAACGCATCATGAAATTATTCTCCTCACCAAAGGTTAGGCTCCGTATTCTCATCCTGTCCCACCCATGTAGATCTGATGTTGTTGATTACTTTGTGCAAGTCTGGGATTAACAGTTCTCAAGTTAGGGAAAGTATGTATGTTTCATTATTTTATTAGACTTCAGCTTTTGATGTTGTAGGCCACAAGAACCGGTATCTAGCACTGCCTCTACCACTGCTTGGGAATTTTTTAGGATCGTAAGATGATCGATCTGGAAGGGTGTCACGCCAACAGGGATCAGAGTATACAAATCGATAGGACAAGGTCTTCTCGATCTCGCCTGGCTGGCCCAATAGGAAAACTCGACCTTAATCTGCAGGTATATACTATTCTTACTATAGTTTCATCCAAATTCGATCCATCGGCAAGCCGATCTATATGCATGTATTCCTGTGTTGCAGTTATATATAATGTCGACACGTGCGAGGTGGCCATGTGGCAGGTTTACCCGCGGCCTGATGGCTGATGGCCGGGAGCAACATTGTTCTTCCATGTTTTTCTTCTCACCCTTTTGATGCACGGGTGTGCCTCCATGTTTTTGATCTCACCGTTTTGATGCACGAGGCTTTGGCATTGATCATAATAAACATTCATGTTCTTTCTTTCTTTTTTGAGAAAAAGGCAGCCATTCTTTCATTTGATCGGAAGAAAAAATGTCAGATGAAAAGAGAAGGAAAAAGGATCAGATGAAAAAAAAGCTAGCGCGCGCGGATATTCATTATTTCCCTACATTTGGAATTTATTAATATTTAAGGGTCAGTTGCATTTGGTGTGCTTTAGCCAACTCCGGTATGAAGTTTCTGTTATAGCTTGGTTGCTTTTGTTTCATGCAGTTGGCGCTTTCTGAATATGCACAAAAAAACCTTTCAGCTGTGAGCTCTGTCAAAATGTATATGTGTATACTGACTTTTCTTCTAATGCATGTACTTATTTTCCATGAAGTAATTATTTGTTTAAAGGTAATTTTCAGGTCATGTTCATTCAACACTACTGGGAACCGCTGAAAGCTGTACAATGATGGCGACCATAAGTGTTACCAATAAATAATGAGGCAAGTATGGTTTCCGTGTTTGGTTTTAACCTAACACATGATTGTACAGAGTTATTTTCTTAGTTTTCTTTGCGGAAATTTGATTCTGTGTTACTTACGGGATTGACAATCATTGATTCTTTAGATGTCTGATGTGTGATCTTCCCCTCCATTAACTGCAAAATATGCCTTTGAATCCCTCCGGATAAATTAATTATAGTTGTTTGTTAAAACTTGAAGTAGGAGCCTCACTTATTTTCAATCTTTTCAGTATTTTGAAGGAAGCGCTTCTAGCACGGCGGGAAGTCATGTAGTTGTAAAGGCTGCAACCTTGATTCTCACAAAAAGGGTGCCTCACTGAGATTGCAATTGCGCCATTGCGGACAATGGAGCCGGCTTTTGGGTCCTTCCCTTACATAAAAAAGGCATGCCTTTGGATTTCTTCATATTTTCCTGACAGTCAATTTTTTTGTTAGTAATTTCCAGTGATAAAAAAATTGTGCTTTCACACACCTCTTTTATGTTTGCGTGTTTGAAATAATTTTGATCTATGTTTTATTATGTTCTGTCCAATGTTGGCATGTCTTCAAAGCAAAACCATCTTATTTGCAAACCTTGAATGTGTGTATTGTTGACTAAAATGTTATAAATAAAACTGAGGATGCTTACTTATATTGCTTCCATCCTTCCTTTGTTACACATCAATACAACAAAGTTGGATAGGGGACACTGTGGTTTCTTTCTTATGGCCCCATTTATAATTGTACTATACTATTTTTTCCCAGTGCAGTGTACTGATGATGGAATAGTTGACGGGACTTTGTTAGTTTTATTTAGTAATGTTACCCCGGGCTTTTATTTTTTGGACAACGCTAACGCCCACACGTGTGGTGGGAGCCAAATCCGTCCATACACCCTATAACACACAGACTACGACATGTCACCGCATGCATGCATGTGAGAATCTTTTTGGATTTTCAGTTTTTAAAATATTTTATCTTTTAAATGAAAAATCTGATTGAAAATCCGTTTTCACCATTAAATCCCTCGCGGCGAGATCTTCGAAACTAGATCTCATATCAATATATTTCGACGAAATTTTTTTAGGTTAAAAGTTACCATGTCTATTGCACATGAATTGCCATGATGTTTACATTCAAGTTGCCATAATATGTTTCAGCTATTTTCTTCTACATTTAAAAGTAAATTTTGACATATTATAAAACGGGGAATTAAGAAACTAGACTTGCCATGCACCATAAACTAAAATTGCCATGATACATGCACTTAAAATTGCCATGGTTTATACAAAAAAATATTTTCATGGTCAAAGTACTGGAATTGCCATCATCAAAAAACTAAAATTGCCATGCTCTACAAACTAAAATTGCCGCATGGCAACTTTAGTTTAAGCACTATGGCAACTACAGTGTAAACATCATGACAGCTTTTGGGCAATTTTTTTTGTCGAAACATATAACATGGGGTCTAGTTTTGAAGATCTCGCCGAGACGGATTGAATGATGAAAACAGATTTTTTTATTAGGAGATAAAACATTTTAAGCCGAAAACCAAAAAAAAAAATTCTGCTGATGTCATCTGTTCATACGTGGCAAAATGAGTGGTGATGGAGGCGTGTGGGCGATATGCAAACTCCCACACGTGTGGGCGCTAGTTTTTTCGCTATTTTTTTGTGGGGTCATGCAATGTGTATCAACACTACCTCCATACATCAAGTGAACTATAGTATCCCATATCAACACGCGAGGTATCATCTAGTATATATAGTCGCAGAGTACATGCATTTTTTTTCACAAAAATGTACTGAACAAACAAAGACAACAACCTTTGCTCAAAGTAAATAAGTAACAAAACAATCATGCCTCCCATGTAATAATCGTTGATATCACCCTAGCTTGCTGCTCTAGGCTTCGACGGTCATGAATTCTACAATATCTGCCTTGAAAACACAAGAGATGTGAGACCACTTATTATCACTTTCTTAACATGAAAGGATGTGCACGGCATTCCAACAACTATTGAGAAATTAACTTTAGATGCCAGTGTAAAGTCATGTCCTTACATACACCATACACTTTCAAATGGATAATAGTAAGCAACACTCCTAGATCCAGGAAGCTTCTTGAACTGCAACGACTTGAGATGGATCGCGACGATGCCGATTTTTGTGTACAAGAACACCGCATTATTGTTCTCGGCAAACCCAATTACCTTAATAACGTGTTCATTTTTATTTGGATCCATGGGAATTTTTAGTAGTTTGTCCAGTTCAATAATTTTTTCCATCACCCATGAAGCAATACCATCATATTTGGTCTTCCTTTTCCACAATTTGGCGTTGAAGCCTGACAGCGAGAGGAAACCCAACCCACCATCTTCTGCTTGCGTAATCGAGAACCGATCATTGCTCCTAGTCTCACTCCCAACACCCACACGCACCGGCAACCCTATCACAGCAAGGACTTGCCTCTCCAAATCAAACTCGAGAATTCCAACCGAGCCCGCTCCAAGCAGCCAGTATAGGGAATTCCTAAGCAGCAGAGTGGGTTCAAAGGATATACCGTTAAAACACCAGTCGGAAAAAGGGTCTGTAGTGTCCATTAGTGGCAACGATGTTGATGTTGAAACGAGATTGCTCCATACGCCGGTCTCTGATGAGTAAACACTTGCGACCGCTCGTCTTTCGTCACTGTTGCCTATCAAGACCACCTGGAAGTGGTCAAAATCTCCTGTAGCCCAGAACACGAAATGGATCGGCCCATATACTGGTGGTAGTTAGGTTTTACCATGAGACTATAGTTTTTTTCCCAACACAATACAAGCCCAGATATTCACACACATTTACACTCAATTCTATGGACGCATGCACGCACACCTAGCCCTTATAAGCACCTTCGAGATACTGAGCCAACACAACATTTGGGATCGAGGAAGTCGCCGCTGACGCACTTGTTGTCGACGAAAACATCTACCACTAAACGCACATCGCGCGAAAGATCTGGAATAAATTCCGGAAAATGCGACCACCAATATCAAGTCTAGTAGAACTATAAACTCTGATAAGTTGGTTTCACCACAAGACTACAGTTCGCACCACGAGACTACAATTGTTCACTGAAGAAAAACATTCTCCTTCAAAACAAAACAAAAAGTATCTATGAAGATTCATATATATATATAGTCGCAGAGTACATGCATTTTTTCATAAAATGTAGTGAACAAACAAAGACGACAACCTTTGCTCAAAGTAAATAAGTAAGAAAAAAAACATGCCTCCCATATAATAATCGTTGATATCACCCTAGCTTGCCGCTCTAGGCTTCGACGGTCATGAATTCTACAATATCTGCCTTGAAAACAAGACATGTGAGACTAATTGTTATCACTTTCCTAACATGAAAGGATGTGCACGGCATTCCAACAACAACTATTGAGAAATTAACTTTAGATGCCAGTGTAAAGTCATGTCCTCACATACACCATACACTTTCAAATGGATAATAGTAAGCAACACTCCTAGATCCAGGAAGCTTCTTGAACTGCAACGACTCGAGATGGATCGCGACGATGCCGATTTTTGTGTACAAGAACACCGCATTATTGTTCTCGGCAAACCCAATTACCTTAATAACGTGTTCATTTCTATTTGGATCCATGGGAATTTTTAGTAGTTTGTCCAGTTCAATATTTTTTTCCATCACCCATGAAGCAATACCATCATATTTGGTCTTCCTCTTCCATAATTTGGCGCTGAAGCCTGACAGCGAGAGGAAACCCAACCCACCATCTTCTGCTTGCGTAATTGAGAACCGATCATTGCTCCTACTCTCACTCCCAACACCCACACGCACCGGCAACCCTATCACAGCAAGGATTTGCCTCTCCAAATCAAACTCGAGAATTCCAACCGAGTCCGCTCCAAGCAGCCAGTATAGGGAATTCCTAACCAGCACAGCGGGTTCAAAGGATATACCGTTAAAACACCAGTCGGAAAAAGGGTCTGTAGTGTCCATTAGTGGCAACGATGTTGATGTTGAAACGAGATTGCTCCATACACCGGTCTCTGATGAGTAAACACTTGCGACCGCTCGTCTTTCGTCGCTGTTGCCTATCAAGACCACCTGGAAGTGGTCAAAATCTCCTGTAGCCCGAAGCACTGCTCCATTGAATCGGTTTCCCGTATCGATCCCCAGGGGAATGCCAAGGTTGTGTTGCTCATCAGTGATAGGATCCCACACCAGAATATGGTGCTTTAGCGGTTTGAAGTGTCGGACATGGACCAGTACGAGGCCATGGCGGCATCCAAAGGTGGAGAAGCTTTGGTCGTCACGCTGAGGCTGCAAGGACAATCGCCTAGGTGGGATACAGTCTGGGCCCTTCAGAGTAGGTACGAAGGAGATGTCTGGAAGATGTCGGTTGTAGAAACCAATAATGGGAATGTTGCGGCAGTGGTAGCGACGGAAGCGGCGGGAGAAGCCTGGGTCCGTGACGAGGAGGCGCCATCGCCTACATACGGCGGAGGCACGAGGGAGGGACGACGGCTGCGGGGGCAGGCGAAGGAGGATCTCCAAGAGAAGGTCATCATCTTCGAGGGGCCCCACCACCGGCGAGTGGGGATGCGGGGGGATGCTACTACTCGTCTCACCCTCCTCACGCCTCATGCCGGATGCGGTGGAGTCTCGGCGGAAGCAATAGCAGTAGAAGCCCAAAGTGAACGGCGAAGCAGTAGGGCACCTTCAACTTGAGATATTTTTATTGATCAAATATCCATATCTGAATCCCTAGTAGACGCCACAGCCTACGGCTCGTTATATATGCAGGACATGACCAACTTCTTTGCAAGGAACGTGACCGTATACAACCTGAATCCCCATAGGTAACGATCCGAACACGGTCTGACACTTCTATGACGGAAGCACTCGCACGTATACAGCCTGAACTCTGATTCAAACCTAGCATCCGGTTGAGACCCACATTACCTCATACTTGTATTATCAAACATTCAAAGGGATGATATAAATTTAGCCCGTCAAAAATCAAAATGGAGTAATCCCGCAAAAAAAAAATCTAATTGGAGTAAGTTTGTAATTTTCCCAGTCATGAATGGACTTGCCACACGCAGGAACAATAATTACAAATTGCCTTACTAGGTAAATTTGTAATTTTCCGGATTTGAAGAAAAGTGTTAAAATGAACAGTACTTCATAAAATCCATACCATGTCCTGACTGCGTTTTTTCAATAGATTATTAGCAATATCAGGAGAGATCGCTACATTGTATTGAAGATGTTTATCTATCCATAAGCTTTCAAATGTACTAGCTTGTACTAGTCTTTGAAAACAAAACAAGTACCTAGTGAGCTATGTATTTCACTTTTAGGCCTTGTACAATGCTAGATGCTTAGGGAAGCGCTTAGAAAAATAAACCCGGTTTTTCTGAAGCACCAGTGCCTGTTTTTATAGGAGAGACGCCTAATTAAGCGTCTACCCAGTATAAATAAGCACCGGTGTTTAAGAAAAACCTGGTTTATTTCTCTAAGCACCTCCCCTAAGCATCTTGCATTATACAAGGCCTTAGATGGTCCAAGCTAGCTTTTCACGATCCCAACGTTCAACTTTACTCCCTCCGTTCCTAAATATAAGATGTTTTAGTTTTTCTCTATTTTCTCAGATTCATATGCATATAAACACGTTTTAGTGTATATATTCACTCATTTTAATCCGTTTGCAGTCCATATTGTAATATCTAGCTAAAACATCTTATATAATTAGAAACCGAGGGAGTAGATACCTATATCTATACCTACTAATAAATGGAGGAAGATTTCTTGGTGTTCTTCTGTCACCCCTTCCTATCCGTTAATTTTGTGTAAACCACAAAGATTTGACAGCCTGAGATTTAGAAGAAGGATCATTTCTTCGATTTCCTTCCATTATCCCTTCGCACGCGAAAGAAGAAACGTTTTGTCCCTTCCATCCTAACTAATTTTCCCTTTTGTCCAACCTTCCTCGTGCGATTTCTACCCTGATCCCACCTCAAACCTTCATGTTTCAAATCAGGGATTATGTTTCCTCCAGAGTAGGTTTGAGGTGGAGGCGGCAGAGGCGCCGGTCCGAGAGCATTAGGCCAAGGAGAGGAGGGTTGCGACGGTAGTAGAGGCGAAAGTGGCGAAGGAATCAAGGGTTGGA